CACTGCATGGGCCTGCAAGAAAGGAGAGGTTGGTATATACCTGGATGAGGAGGCTGGCTCTGTGGCTGCTCAGTCTTGTCCCCTTTTGATAAAGTCATGTGACTTCTTGGCAGAGAGGACCCCAACATGTACAAGAATGGGGCACAAGTGCAAATAGAAATACTATGTAACACAGGTTGGGAGTTCTCTCCTCCAACAGCAGTCAAAGCAAGCAAGATTTCCTCCTCAAAGTAACCCTTGCTTCCCAAACCACAGGCACCACTCCTGCATTCTTCAAAGAAACCTAATATTAGAAACCTAGGTTCAAATTTAGAATGACTGGATTCCATATGGTTCTATACAGAAATATACTGTGTCCCAGTCTCTTGCAACTATAGTTTCACCTAGACAAGGGTCCTTGGGGATATGCACACAAATGGCCCTTACTGCAGGTCTAAGGTCCATAAGCGTTGTCTCTAAAGCATCTCCCTGGAGCCCAGCTTCTGCTGTGAGGACACAGAAGAGAAGAAAAGGCTGGTAGGTGTCCTCACAGAAGAGAGGGGCTATTTGAGAAAAAGATTCTACAGTCACCATGGAGCATATGAGCTCTAGGAGCACACATCTCCCTGGCCTTAAGTAGTTCTTATCCCATGAAGGGATATTGGCTAGAGAAAGGCTGTAAGAGGCCCAAGAGCATGGGGTTTGAGGCAAGACTCCTCGTGCACAAATACAAGATGGTTCCAGTTTCTTCGAGATTGTGTTCCATTTGTTAAGAGGACCATAAACAAACCCTCCCTCACAGGGTTACTCTAAATCATCCAGTGCACAGAATTTGGTGGCCTGAAGTAAATACTTCCACACAGTACCATAAACAAAACAACAGGCGGTATGGATGCTGGAAACAGAGCCCTGGTCCTCTGCAAGAGCAACCAGTGCTCTTAACCACTGATCCACCTCTCCAGGTCCCAAACTTGACCTTTAAACTAATATGGCTTGAGACTTTTTCTCCTTCAATTTAGAAAGGATCTGATGGGAGGGGAGGGACCCTGTCCCCATCAGGTTGGCAGAGCAAGGCTCAGGGAGAAGAGGCTGGGATGCACAGGTGTGTCTAAAGATGAGACCATGTGTGTGGTCTCGGACCAGATCATCAGACTGCAGGGGAACACTGGCCAGCCCTGCATAGTGGACAGTGAAAGCTAAGGAGCCCCAAACAAATCTCTGCAAATCCTGACCTCAGCTGGAGCCCATACTCTGCCACCAGAGCTGGAACTGTGAGAGCCACGTGAAATCTGGCTGACAGGCTCCTCTCTGTGTAGCTTCCATCTTAGAAGCCCCAAAGAACCAGGAGTGCCAGGAAGCCAGACTCCGAGGAACACCAACCCCATGATGCCAGTTTCAGCAATAGGAAAACTGAAGCCCTGAAAGACCATTGCAGGTTACACTCACAGGCAGAATTGAGGCTAGAACTTCTGGGTCAGGTTGGGACTACTGCCATCACACTTGCAACCTTGGCATGTGCTAGGAGAGGGTGGCAATGTCAAGTTCAGCTCATTAGGGGGAGCCATTATGACTAAGGACTCCCACACCTAGCAGTACCCCTTGCTCCTGGTGAACTTAGGCCCTAAATCTGCCTTTTTACCCTTAGACTGCAGAATCTAGTCTCTGGGTCATCTTAGGCTTAAAGCACAAATAATGACATTACTTGGCATTATTGAGCAGACACTCTATTAGATTCTTTCATATCTCATTTAATCTTCAATCAATTCTATGATCTGAAAACTAAGAAACTAACTTCCATGTTCTACATGAGAAACCTGAAGGCTTAGGAAACTTAAGCTACTTGGTGATGGTCACCTGTTTTAACTAGTGAGTTGGAGAGAGAAGCATGCACTCTGCAGAGCCCTTGTGTTCAGGACCACAGTGTACATTTACTGGCCAGGGTTCTAATACTGAAGGTACCAAATACCCTGGGTTGGGGAGGGGGCTCTGTCAACTCACTAAAAGGGGTCACCAGAGGGAAGAGGGGCCCCGGCGACATATAAAGGTCCATTTGTGCCAATATCCCACTTCTGCGAGCCCGCTTTTCTCCAAACAGTGGCTTGCTCCGGGAAATAGCCTATATTCATCAACCCCTTTCCAGAGAGCTTTGGCTTTCAGTGGGACTGCAGCTCCACCTACAACCACCAGAGGGCGGGCCAGTTCTGTGACCAAGAAGTACCCAGAGCCTGGCCGACTGTCCAGGCGGAGATGGGCCTACAGGACCAAATCACAGTCCCCGATCACACTCTGCCATCAGCCTACTTCTTGGGATCTCCAAATATTTAACTGCATAAATCCATCACCGGGTACAGCCCACACCAAAAAAAAAAAAAAAAAAGATGACCTCGAAACGGTAATCAGCCAGCTCGCCTGGAGAGATGAAGATTTATATATCCTGATGAGTAGAATAATCTCTACGTGCAAGTAAGGAAATGGAGGCATAAGGAAGAGAGTGAATGGTCCGGGGTACATAAAGAAAGCTGGGGTTCTGATCTGGAGAGAGTTGTCAAGAGGTGTAAGGAGAGGGGACCCCAAATGTAAATATCGCGGAGGGGGGAGGGAATAGCCCACAGGGAGAACCAAATGCACAATGAGATTCTGAGAAACCAATACTAGCCACCCACCCACCCACCAGCCAGTAGTCCAACAGCCTTGCTCAGCACCTGTTGGACACACTGTATGAGAAGCATTTCCTGCCCTCCTAACGCTGGCAATCTAGAGTGGGAAGTGATGAATCAGCGTATAACTATGGGAAACCCGGACACCTGCACAAGGAGGTGTCTTAGAGAGCTTGTGACTGTCTCCGGAATCCCAGCTTTGGGCTGAAGGAGAGGCCTGGAGCTAAGGACCCTCTTCCCTGCAGCTCATCACAGAATGGGGCTCCCCTCCAAGCTTTGGTTGCCAGCCTGTGTTGGGGGCCAGTGTCCCCTCCCACCCCTCTCAGAAGAGCCGCGGCCCAGGGAGTCGATGAAGCACACCTGAGTCAGCCCGCCGCCCACCCGCCCCTCAGCGTCTGTCTCCGCATCTTGTGATATTTCGCTCCCCGGGAGCCAGCCCCATTGCGCTCCGGAGGCAGCTCGGCAAACAAACCCAGCGACAGATTGTGCCGCGGCTCATTCCGGGGAAGGACGCCAAATCCCACCCGGCTACCCCCAACACTCCCTCCCCGCCGCCCCCACCAGCACTACCCCCACCTCAGGCGCGGCGCGAGCCCTGCGCAGAGTGGGACCCAGGGAAACGCAGGGCCCTACTCATGCCTTATAAAAGAGGGACAGGCGTCCCACATATGCCCCTTCTTGTTTCTACCTGACCTGGAAACGAGAAAAGCGGGAGAGAAAAACTCAGGGGCCGCTAGGCTGGGCAGTAATAAAAGATGGAACCGACAGGGGGCACTCCAGCATGAGGTGCAAGAAGGCTGAGAGCCACTACCACCATCACCCCGCCAAGGAACCAGATGAATAGGGGGAAGGGAGGGAAGACAAAGGAGAGGCAAGGCGGAGATGTGTAGAGGCTGGTAGTCACAAAAAAGAAAAGGGGGAGAGAGAGACAGAGAGAGAGAGAGAGAGAGAGAGAGAGAGAGAGAGAGGAGAGAGAGAGAAGGAAGCGGCAAAGAAGACAGAAGAAGGCACACACATATTGGGGGAGGAAAGGACAGAGAAAGAAAGGGAGGGGAAGTAAAGGAGAGAATAGGGATGGGGATCATAAAATATGAATAGGAGTTGGGGGAGAAAATGAGAGAAATCGAATGAGTACGAGAGAAGAATGACAGATTATAAATGGAGCATGGAATGAATAAGAATGAGTCTAGCATTTATAAAGTGCCGACTGTATGCTGTACACAGCGTTGCACCCTGGCTGACACCCTCAACTATCCTTCGCCTAGTGGCTCTCAAAAATCCGACTACTAGGAACCTTGGGCTGGCCAGGATTAGGACAGGCCTTTAAAAGAAGGCGTTTAGGTCAAGGATTGGCCAGTAGTGCCACGGAAGAGGCCACTAGAGGCGTCTAAGGTCCCTATGAGGCCCCTTTCCACCCCCTCTATAAAAACTAACAGTTGGCTCCCACTTTTGGGTCCTCTTCTGCCCTCTGGCGAGGGATGAGGTATCCCCTTTGGGGCGTATTAAGTAAACGCGCGAGTGCGCGCGCACAGACACACACACACACACACACACACACACACACACACACACACCTCAAGCGCACCCAAACTTACACCCGTTTGTAAAAGCTTTAAGGTGCATATAACACACCCGAGTACATATACCCTTCGCCTCCCATCCCAAACTCGCGCGCGCAAATTTTTCACACAGCTCTACTGTGGCCCACCAAGTGCAGAAACACACTCACACACTCCCGCCCTGTTCTCCGACGGGGATAAAAGGCCAGCACTCAGCTACACCTGCCCAAGTGTCTGCGCGCGCCTAAACACTTGTTCACAGACTCCTATACACACCGTTCCTATAGTTGTACAAGCAGGGCTCAGAGTCTGGAAAGCAAAGACAAAGTGAAATCTTGAAGTTCTCCTAAGCGACACAGAAGATCGCAGGGGACAGGGCAAGAGAACGGGCGCTAAGCGGGAAACTACTCAAGAAACCGCGTATTTTCTGGGAAAGTTGAGAGAGGAAGCCCGGATCCCGGACAAGTCCAAGGAGGGGAGGAGGGTCCTTAACACAACTACGCGTGCACGCACACACCAAGAAGGGATTTCTCTAAAGGCGTGGCGTCGCGGAGGCTTTGGGAACACGACCTTCCTGATCTCCCAAGGTTGGGAGAGAGCCGAGGAGTGGGCTAGATGGAGAACCACTCCCGCCTCCTAGTAGCCAGCAAAGGGTTAAACCGGCAAGCCGGGAAGCGAGGGAGGAGCCAGCGAGTGCGGGAATGGGGGGGGTGAAGCGCTTCTTCGCTGTCCCCACTCTCCCTCGGAGAGCAGCCGGGGTGCACGGACCGACCGACTAACCGACTCCCTGCGGGACCGCACTGCCTAGGAGGAGCGGACACCAGTGTCCAGGGCCAACCTAGCCCTCTCTACCCAGTCGTGCCCCGCCCCGTCCCGTCGGGGCCGATGGCTCCTTCCGAGGCACGCAGTCCGGGGGGCGCAGGGTAGAGCTCCACAGACCCGCCACATAGCCGGGGGACTCCTCGGGTCCTTCCGGAGCCCCGCGGAGTCCCCGCCGTCTGTCCGGCGGGCTAAGGGAGCGAGTGGGAGAGCCCTCCCCCCTGCCGCCCCCTCCCCCGAGCGTCGAGACAAGATGCTGCCCGGGCTCCGGCGCCTGCTGCAAGGTAGGAACACCGTCCGGCGGGAGGAACCTTGAGAGGGAGCCCCTCTCCTTGGGCTTGAGGGTGGGGCAGTGAAGGGGGTGGGGTGGGCTGGGAGCAAAAAACCGCTTAGCGCGGGAGCCGCGCCTCCGCCCCCATAGCTGCCAGCCGCAGGAGGGCACTGGGCTTGGAGCCTGCGGGAGTGTGCGGGGAGCTCGTGACCAAGGGGCGACGCGGAGGGCAGACCGAGCAAGCTGGGAGGAGGAGAAAGAGGCTCAGGTTCCGCTGTCCCGGCTCCACCTGCTCCGGGGGACGCCGAGGACTCGGGCCGGCTGGGGAAGCGCCAACTCAGCAACTCCTGGTGCCGGGTGTCTCAGCACTTTCCAGTCACCTGGGAAGACAAGCCGTGTGGGTAGGGGTCTGTCTGGGAAGGTAGGGGGCAGAGAACGATTTCCCAATGGCCCTGCCTGGTCGGACAGATGGAGGGGCTAGAAGGAGGCCAGATCCAAGCACTGAGTGACAGCCAAGGGTGTGGGCTGGAGATTGGGGGCGGGGAGGGTAGGGGTCGGAGGGAGGAGGGGAGTCAAGATGAGGAAAGTGTCTAGAGAGGTGGGGGTGAGAAAGAGGAGGTGGGGGTGGGATGGGGGAAGGGCGAGAAGAGTAAGAAAGGTTAGACGACAGGAAAGCTGGGTCGGGGAAGACCAAGGAAGAGAGGGGAGGAGGGGACTAGTTCAGGAGAGAAATGTTAGACTAGGATTAGAAAGCTAGTGATGCGCGGGGCGGGGGAGATAGCCGAAGGGTGAGGACTGGGGCTCTGTGAGTGTGGAATGGAAAGGGATGGGAAAACTAGAGGCTAGCGGAACCTGGTGATGGAGGATAGACACCGGGAAAATGGTCACCAGGGCTGGGGAACCGGATCCCTACATGCTAGAGTGGTTAGAGAAGGCTTGGGGTGTCAATAGAAGACAGAGAAGGAAAAGGAAGAGAAGCAATGGGGGGCCCAGGGAGGAGACAAAGAGGCTCCTGGTAACCACTTCCACGTGGGAAGCCCTCCATTCTAAAGCGTATGCCTGTTATATCCCTTCTGTCAGGGAGTGGCTGGTGGGCAAGCCAAGGGACCTTGAGCTCAGGGCCTGGGGCTGCTGTAGGAGGAGAGTAAGGACTTTGTAGGGGGAGGTGACAGCTTCCTTGGGGTGGGCACCTGGGCTAGCTCAGTGCTGCCATTTATATCTCCAAGCCCCGACGTCGGATCCTGCCGCCCCACAGTAGCTTCTTATTTTGGGGTGTTACATTCTGGCAGAGTGAGAAGCTGTTTGCAGCAGCTTCAAAACCTCCAGTCACCTGCATCAGTGCCTCCCCAGGCCCCTGCGTCACTGGTATGCCATCGCCCCCATGCCACTCCCAAGCCCCCCTCCCAGCCTCTGCCCCCTCAGCATCTGCTGGGCAGGCCCCTGGATCTTCCCCGAGGCAGTGTTTAAAGTGTGGAGATGGTGCTTGTAGTTGGGACCCTGTACGGTATTTCTAGAACCAGAGGCCTGACTACTTTTCTTGGGACATCTCCGTCCCGTTATGGTGCACTCCAGTTCCTGCCTTGGACTCTGCCTCACCGCCTCCCCTCCCTGCTTCAAGTTTCTTATTCTCAGGAGCTTCTGGCCTAACGGCTGGCTGGCGCAGACTGAGTTCTTCATCTCAGAACCTGTGTATTCCAAGGTCTGGCAGCCCTTGGGCCTTCACCGTGATCCTTTAGTGAATGGATCCTTTTGGCTCTGGATACCTTAGCCTTCCAGGATCAATACCATGTTGTGGCCTTTCTCCACTCCCTCCTGTGGCCAGATGTGGCTATGCCTTTGGTGATTGGTCACCTCTTCCTGACTCACATTTGTGCTGTGCTCTAGAATAACCAGAGCCTGGAGCCCAGGACTAGAAAGCTAGAGAGAGAGCCTAGGTTCCCCACCCACCCATGACCCTGAACAGCCAAATGACTAGCATTGTGAATATTCCCTTTACCTCTAGACCAGCATTGCACATCCAGGGGGTGTGTGGGGGAAGGTGTTCTGTAAAAGTCGGAGTGGGTCCTTCCACCACAGCCCAGCTCCGGTGCCTGCTGTTCTGGATCTTGGGCTGCACAGCGAAGTCCCCCTCCCTTCCTAGGAAGGTTGGGACCTTTGTACTATTGATCTCCCTGGGGGAGATCTTGACAAGCTGGGTTCCAGGAATGAAGAAGGCTACACACAGGTAGAGAGCTGGCATGCTGTAGGTGCACAATGACAGATGGATTCCTTCTTCTTTGGCCCCACACACCATTCATCTTGGGGCTGACCTACTGATTTTAGAGGAAGGGATGGGCAAAGGGTGAGGGAGGCTGGCAGAAAAGGCTTCCCTCTCCCTTGACTACAGGGGAAGGAAGAAACCAGTTTTCTGAGTACAGAAAGGGGTGCTACCAACCAGAAGCTGACTTTTCTACTTTTCAGTCCTCTTTAATATATGCTGTCCCCACAAGGCTTATTCTAGATAGTGGCTGAGGATCCCCAGTCCACCTCTGACACACTGTGCCTGCCCAGGACATGCACAGGGGAGCCTGGAGTATAGCACAGGGGAGGGCCTGGAATGGCTGTGAAGAGTGAAAAGCAGGGCTTAGGGAGGGGATGTGGGAGAAGGGAAATAACACAAGGAGCAGGGGAGAGGAGAGGGGAGGGAAGGAAAGGCGCTCTCCCAGCCCCCCTACTTTGCCTCTGCCTGGAATGCCCACTCCAACCCAGCCTGGGGGGCAGAGAAGCCCAGAGCCCCCTTCCCCTCCCCCCTGCCTCCAGTGAGAGCCACAACCTGAATTATGGATGAAGCTCCTTGGGTTACAGCTGCTTTGCAAGGCAGTGAGGGCCAGAAATGGCAACAGAGTCACTGTTACGCAGCAACTGCCGTGGAGCAGCCCCCCCCCAGCACACACACACACACACACACACACACACACACACACACAGGGTCCCTCCTCAAAGGGCCTGTAGGGAGTACCACTGAGACTGAAGGAAGTGGATCCTACTGAGAGAAATGCATAGATGGGGCAGCAGGGAGGCTGTACTGGCTTAGAGGAGAGAAGCACTGGACACAGTGAGGAGCCGAACAGGAAGTTGGGGCAAGAAGGACGGGGGGGGGGGGGGGGACGACTTGCCAGCCCAAAGGGCTTGACCTCAGACTGGAAGCCGACTGCAGCCAGGGGAGTAGCCCTCTGAACCTGTGGCCTTCTGGGCTCCTAACCCTTTCTGCTTTCTCTACTGGGATAGCAGTCAGTCAGCCATGGATGCTGGGAGAAGAGCCCGGTAATCCTGGGGTGAGGGTGAGAGGGAGGTTGACTGGCTGGCCGTGCAGCTCACACTCCAGGAAGCTTGCGGATGGGGGTGGGATTAAGAGATCAGAGAAGGATTTGGCTTCCTTTGGTGTAAAGTCCTTGGAGAGGCAGGGCTTGGTGGGTGACTATGAATGCCCTACTGGACACCAGGTCAGTCTTTTTTTTCTGGCCCTTGTCCTGTACCACTTTAGTGTGTGACCTTGGGTAAGTTGTTTGCCTTCTCTGAGATCCAAATTGCCATTTCCATAGGACTTACACAGCTCTGAAATCCCCAGCCCGAAGTGCTCAGGAAACCCACCCTGGGTCCCCCACTGGACTCCCACACCCCACTCCTTCCTGGTTAAGATCAAGGGTGAGAGACATGCTCCTCCACCCCACGTGGCTTTGAAAAAAAAAAAAACTCAGGAGAAAAGTAATCGTGAACCGCCACACGGGGGAGGGGTGAGAAGGACCGAGAAACGCGGAGGTGGTGTGAACGAATGGAACAGCCGCGCTGTGTCACTGAATATTACATCACACCCAGCCTACACACGCACGGGGCCCGGCACTCACACACGCGGAGGGCGGCCAGCACACGCTTGCTTGTTCGCTCGCTTGCTCTCGCGCTCCAGGAGGGGCCAGTGACACACACAAGCGGGCAGGGGTGGCTTTGGGGAGTGCCTGAAAGTGAAGAGCTAAAGATCACCCAGACTCACAGGGTACTTACTCCACTCTATGGGGTGGCGCTCCCCAGGAAGAGGCACTACAGGGGTGCATGCCTGATACAACGTCCCCTACCAGATTGCACTGCAACTTCGATAGTGAGCACCCACAGGTGCCCCCCCTCTACTCCGAGATCACAGGCACACCTCCACGCACACAGATATCTCAGAACACATTCATCTGGAACTAAAAGCTGCCCACCTCTCAGCTACCCGCTCCCTAAACCATGGGGACCCCCTTCTGGAGCCAATGTAATGAATAGCTCCTGGATTTGTAGGTGCAGGTTCACCTCTCCCCAGGCAAATATTCCCTGGGAAATCTCAGGCTTTTCTGTGAATCCTGGTAGAACTAAGTCTACCAACAGGAACCTCTTTCTGTGGCATTGAGGGGTAGAGGACAGGGATGCTTGTAGGAGGGAGGGGCTCTGTGCTCCTCGGTGGGGCAGAGAAACACAGACACCCATTCTCAACATTTTAGTCTCCTGCACCGGCTTTCTGGTCTGTATGCTAAGATTAGCCCACAACCAAACTCCAAAAGTTACTTGGGGGGGGGGGGCTTTGAAGGAGACTTTGAATGAGTAGAGCCTGAGTTGGTCTGCAGCCCCACCCCTCCAGCTACTTCCTAGGTGGAAAAAGCTAAGGTTCTTCCTAGGCCTGTGGGAAGAAGAAGGAGGAGGGTCACCAGGACACCCACAGGCCTTCTAGTCATAGACGGCCTCAAGTTAGTGTCTAGCTTTCTCGAGTGGGCTGGTTTTGCTCCCAGAGGACATTTGGCAATGTCTAGAGACATTTTGATTGTCATAACTGGGGGCAGGGTGCTGCTGGCATCTGGTGGATAGAAGACAGTGCTGTAGTTTAACACCCTAAGAAGAGCTATCCCCAGCCAGCTTCAGTTCAAAACAAAGAAAACCCTGACCCTTAGACTTTTGGCCCTAACTCTAAACAAGGTCAAACCAACCATGAAAACAGACAGGAAGGAAAAGACACCTGTCCCCCCCCCCCCAAACCACTAGAGTTGCATCACAGTGCTGTCTATAAAGCCCCCCCCCATAGTGTTTGGAGATACAGGCTCACCTTTCCCCAAGCAAAGCTCCCCAAGAAAACCTAAGTGGCTTCCTGGGAACCCTGACAGAAGGAAAAACTGTTTCCACCTGTATCTGCTCCACCAATAGGAGGTAAAGGCCTTTAATCCCAGTGCTCAGGAGACAGAGGCAGACTGACCTCTGTGAGTTCAAGGCCAGCCTGGCCTACAGAGAGTTCCGGGCTAGCCAGGGCCACACAGAGAAACCCTGTCTAGGAGTGGGGAGGAGAGCAAGCCCCTCACCCTGATAGTAGAGGAGCACAGGCATCCATTCTTAACAAACTAGCTCTCAAAAGGGTTTGAAGACTGGCACTCAGGCTGAATTAGTGGAGTGCTCCACTAGCATGCACAGGTCTGGGGTTTGATTTCCAGCATAGCACTGACTAGGCATGGAGCACAGCACTGTAATCTCAGCACTAGGGAGGTGGAGGCAGCAGAGTCACAAGTTCAGGGTCATCCTCTGCTAAACGTTAAGTTTGAGGGCAACCTGGGCTGCATGAGATCCCCCCATCTCTCTCTCTCTCCCTCTCTCTCTCTCTCTCTCTCTCTCTCTCTCTCTCTCTCTCACACACACACACACACACACACACACACACACACACACACACACAAGAAAGGAGAAGGAAGGAGAGGTTTACATCCCTCAAAGGAACCTGGAGAGAGGTGGGAGGCAGCCAAGCTTCTTGAGCCTATTAAAGTCCATCTAGACCCCACCCCCACCCCACCCCGCCCACCTACTCAGTGAGCCTTCACTCTGCTCTCCCCATAGGTCCTGCCTCAGCCTGCCTGCTGCTGACACTCCTGGCCCTCCCTCCTGTGACTCCCAGCTGCCCCATGCTCTGCACCTGCTACTCATCCCCACCCACCGTGAGCTGCCAGGCCAACAACTTCTCTTCAGTGCCACTGTCCCTGCCACCCAGCACACAGCGACTCTTCTTGCAGAACAACCTCATTCGCTCCCTGCGGCCAGGCACCTTTGGTCCCAATCTACTCACCCTGTGGCTCTTCTCCAACAACCTCTCCACCATCTACCCTGGCACCTTCCGCCATCTGCAGGCCCTAGAGGAACTGGACCTGGGTGACAATCGGCACCTTCGCTCTCTGGAGCCTGATACCTTTCAGGGCCTGGAGCGGCTGCAGTCACTACATCTGTACCGCTGCCAGCTCAGCAGCCTACCTGGCAACATTTTTCGGGGCCTGGTCAGCCTACAGTACCTCTACCTCCAGGAGAACAGCCTGCTCCACCTACAGGTGAGCCAGCTACGTCCCCTAGGCCTCTTGTACCTCTCTCTCTCTCTCTCTCTCTCTCTCTCTCTCTCTCTCTCTCTCTCTCTCTCTCTCTCTGGGCCTATTTTCTGAGGCCACATTTCCTGTCTCAGCATCTCCATCTACCTGCTCAGTGTCTGTCTCTCTGTGTCTCTCTAGCCCCCATTTGTCTCTGCCTGTCTCCTGACTTGCCGCCCCCATATGTCTCCCTCTGCCTCTTCTGTCTGTCTCCCTTCATGCACCCACTCACTCAGCACCCCCCCCCCAATGTCTATGTGTCTCTCCTTTCCTCAAGAGCCTCAGCCCAAAGGCCTTTGCATGATCTTTTCCCATCCACCCCCAAGTCCTCCCACTTCCTAGGCAAGCTGGGCAAAAGGTGGAGTCATTGCTGGGGAGGGGCTTGTCTCAGAAGTAACATGATTCCCTGATCACTGCATAATATTGGAAGGGACAACCCTTTCTAGGTTCTGTCCCTCAGACCTGTTGTCTCAGGTAAAACTCTGTTACATTGCTTAAAAAAAAACAGGGGATGCTCTGGAGAAAAAGAAATGGAAGAATTGTTATTTATAGTTATTATCATTGATCTAATTATTATTTATTATTGTTGTTATGCTGACTGTCTGACAGTCAACCCCTCATATCTCATTTCCCCAGGAAGTAGTAACACACCCTCTTAGCAACCACACAGGAGGACATTTTCCCTAGGAGCATAGCCTCTGGCTAGAAGGGAACACTCCTCACTTGAGCCCAGAAGGCACTGCCTTCTCCCTATCCAGGACTTGGCACCCACAAGTCATCAGTCTGCGGGTTAGAAAATCTGTCCCAGCTGATGCTCCTGATAATAGCAATAGTGATGACAATTTATTGATGTGTTGAACACCCATGGAATGCTGTACTAGAAATACAGCAACCTTGGAAACAGTGTTCAAATGGAGAGAGGGGCAGGAAAATGTATAGTGACTGGGATAATGTCTCATTATTGCTGAGTAATGGCAATCAATTTAGCAAGCACATAGTTAAGTACACACTGTTGGGCCCTAGGCAAAGCACTTTATAGGCATCAACACTTTTACAAGCACGTGGCATTTTTCAAGCACAGACCTCAGTTTTCCTATCTGTGAAATGGGAGTAATACGAGCATCCATTGCCCAGGGATTTTGTAAGCACTAAATGCATTAATAATTTGTAGTGCACTTAGAATAGTGTTTGGCACAAATAAGAGCTATATAAATGCTTGTTAAAATGCCATGTTTTCTAAAATGAACTTTATTTAACATTGGTCTCAGTGAAGTGCCCTAGCTTGAACTTCATCTTAGCGATCTGGGTCAACTCTAAGGATTACTGGGAGGCCATGGATAGGATCCAAGGCACACCTACCATTTCTCTTCTTCCGGAAGTTGCCTGGAAACACATGGTTACAGTGCACTCAGCCACTTCATCTCAAGTCTACAGGCCTTTGGAGGCAGAGGTTTCCACCACAGAGTGCACACTGGGGATCTCAAGGATTTATGGGACACAAGTCCCTGAAGCCATTGTCCCTGTGATTGGGGCCTTACGAGCCCCAAACTGCTTGGCAGCAGGGACAGACATGACTAGAAGGTACACAGAAAGGAACTGAGACTACATAGCCAGGGGGAGCTGGCTCTTGACCCCATACTTTAGAGGGACAGTATCCCCAAAATACAATTGAGTGGGCTAGGGAATTTTGCTAGTGTATCTGCTTGGTTTGCCGTTGGTTTTTGTTTTAGATTTATAGGTGTTTGCCTACATGTACATCTGTGGACCACATGTGTCTAGTGCCCACTGAGGCCATAAGAGGAAGTCAGATTCCCTGGAGCTGGGGTTAGTTACAGATGGTTGGGAGCTGCCACGTGGGTGCTGGGAATCAAACCCAGGTCCTGGAAGAGCAGCCAGTGCTCTTAAACCTCTGAGCCATCCATCTCTTCAACCATGACCTTGAACTCCTTAATCTTCCCACCTCTGATTCCTGAGTGGAATTACAAATCTGTACTGCATGCCTGGTTTATACAGGGCTGAGGATAGAACCTTGGTCTTTGTGTATGCTAGGCCAAGTATTCTACCAATTGAGCCACATCCCCAGCCCTGTGGCTTCAGATTTAAAAGCACTTCTCAGCCTCCTGTAGGCTGAGTACACTGACCTGAAGTACTGGGGATATGATGTGTTTGGTTCATATTTTGGAGGATCTGCATACACATGATGAGTTATCATAGACACAGGACCCAAGTCCAAGTGTGTAGCTCATCCATGTCTCCTATATATCTGGACTCATAGCCTAAAGGAAGTTTCATATAGCTTTGTAATTCTGACTGTGAAACATTGCATGGTGGGTAATTCCCCACTTGTGGTGATGTGTTGTTGTTGCTCTAGAAGTTTTGGATTTTAGAGGCCTGGGGATTTTAGATTTTCTGATTAAGGATACTTGGCTTTTGTTTTTAATTTTTAAATTACATTTTTATGTTCATGGGGGAAGTGTGTGTACATGCACATGCCATGGCATGCATGTGGATATCAAAGGATGACTAGGGGGAGTTAGTTCTCTCCTTCCATCAGGTGGGTCCCGACTATGGAACCCAGATTGTCAAGCTCGGTGGCTTCTATTGCCATGAAGAGACACCATAACCACGGCAACTTTTATAAAGGAAACATTTAATTAGGGTAGCTCACTTTCCAGTTCACAGGTTCAGTCCACTATCATTATGGCAGGGAGCATGGTGGCATGCAGGCAGACGTAGTGCTGGAGAAGCAGCTGAGAGTCCCACATCTTGCCGGCAACAGGAAGTCGACTGACACACTGGGTGGTAGCCTGAACATAAGAAATTCAAAGCCCGCCCCTCATAGTGTCACATTTCCTCCAACAAGGCCATTCCTACTCCAACAAAGCCACACCTCCTAATAGTGCTGCTCCCTATGAGATTATAGGGGCAGTTACATTCAACCCACCAACAGTGGCAGATACCTTTACCTGCTCAGCCATCCTGCTGGCTTTGACTCTCCTAAGATCCTGATCTTATCAAATGTAGAAACTACTCACCATTTAGGGAAGGTTCTCTGAGTCTCCATATCCACTTCCTAGCAGGAAGCCATGAAAATGAGGCCTTCCACAAAGCTGTGAGATGCTAAGAAGTTGGGGTATAGAGTGCATAACTTAGGGTTTAATAAATTACTTTTGCCAGGCAGTGGTAGCCTTTGATCCCAGCACTAGGCAGAGGCAGGGGAATCTCTGTGAGTGTCAGAGTTCTAGGACAGCTAAGGCCACAGAGAAACCTTATCTTGGAAAAAAAATAAGAAAGAAACAATAAAATTAATAAATCTTGGCCCTTCAAGCCATAAACAGCAATCTGTTCTTGGGGTCAACTAAGGCCTAAGCCTAATGAACCTCTAGGTGGTCACTGGGGTCTTCTGAACTAGAAACCACCTTTTTCTGAACAATCTTGGCCTGGGCAGCATCAGGTATCACGTGAAGGAAGTCTCTTCACAACTGGCCCTTTGTAGAGAAGAAAAGAGACAGCCTGTGTCTGTGAGCTGCCTAATGGAACTAGGCTAGGAGATGCCACAAGCAGGTGAGGAAACATGTGGCTCAGTGAGATGCTCGGAGAGCAGGTGTGACCTAGGATGAAGCCCAGCCTGCCCAGGAAGGCAGCTCTGGAGGGGGCTCATTGTCAGGATGTGGCGTGTGCACATGTGCATGGTGGAGGTTCTCATGGACTGCCTGCTGAAGGCTGGGCACTGTTCCAGGTCAGATCATTCAGCAGCAGATTCCTTACTGAGCACCTACTACATGCCAGGCAGCATGCAGGGTGCTGGGGATTCCAGGGTGAACAAGAACAGTACCCCTGCTCTGTTGGAGGGTGGCCAGATGGTAAAGCTGCGTCTCACCCTTAGTTACCACAGTGTCTTACTTCATGTTTACAAGCAGTATTTGTGCTCAGGCAGACCGGAGTTCTAATCTAAGCCCTCTCTAATTTGCTGTGGCCTCATGGTCTCATCTATGAAAGAGAGGTCATAGCCTGTTGCTCAGGGCAGGAGGTGCTGTGAGGACTAAACGCAATGGTACTTGGGAAGAACAGAGTGGGTGGGAGTCAATGACAGTAGTGAATTCATCAACCATGGAGTTGCCAGGGTAGAACTGGCACAGGTTTGTTAAGGTTCTGCAGCACAGGTGTGGAGTCTTGCCTCTGGAGTTGACTCCCATGTTAGCTGTTGGGCCCTCAGCAAGTGGCTCCCTTCTCTGAGCCCCTCTTAGTCTCCAAATAGAGAAAATCACAGCATCTGCCTCATAGTGTTGATGATTAAGATACTATCAGGATCCGTGCCACACAGGACTTGGCATTCAGTGAGAACTTGGCAAATCACCTGCTGACGCCGATGATTATGACACCTACCATGGATGGGCAAGCACCATGAGCGGGGGTGCCTAATGCAGAGTGCACACACAGAACAGCTTTGCTCAATGAGTGAGATCAACTCACAAGCTCACTGAGTCAAAATTAGCAAATACTTTGGGGACCTGAAGGATCAGCCACTCCAAGTCACTTTTGGTACAGATGAAAGCACTAAGACCCAGAGAGGTGCCAGGAGCTGTCCAAGGTCACACAGCCAGGGAAGCTGATAAGATGGGTACCAAGGCCAGGTGTTGCAAGGTTGGAGGAAGGCAGGGTTAAGAGCAGGATGCTCTCAGCAAGGCTAAGGAGTGTAGGGATGCTGCATTTAGATTCCAAATGGATACAGAAAGCTGTGAACCGGCCAGGCAGGAGGCAAGGGAAATGTGGTTTTCGAAATGGAAGAGGATGACTTTAGCAGATGTTCCTAGCCCAGAGGGAGGGGGCGTGCAAGGTGATGGGGGAGGGTCTGTGAACATCAAAAGCCTATTAATGCACAGAGAACAGTTTTAATGGTGGAGAGTTGGGACTGGATTTGAGAGCTACAGCCCAGGAAGTGGTGGTGGAATCTGGCTACAACTTGGGTTGGGGGAAGGGAATGAACTCCAAGGCTGGGGCTCAAGAGGGTCAAGTAGCAAGACTTTTAGCCAAGAAACGGAGAGAAGAGACTAGAATACAAAATTGGGCTGTGGTTAAGAAACGTCTGGGTTCCCTGCCGTGTCTGAACCTCTGTTTTCCCTTCCAGAACCCCAAGTCTCCAAAGGGGTGCTTAACTCAGTGATACCCTCCTGTGTCCCCATATTGATCCTCTAGCCATGGAGTCATCTCTGGGTGTATCCTACTATTGCTGACACTCTGAAGAGAAACCCCAAGGGAGGGGTTAAGCAGAAGAACTCAGGGTGCCCTCTGGGCAGGACAGGAAAGAGGAACTAGAGGTGCACAGTAAGACTGATGCTATTGGGGTGAGCAGGTCAGCTTGGGACCTGAACAAGGCATTCAGGGGGGTGGCATCAAAGGGTGGAGAATGCTGTGCTGGTGTCAGAGGTAGCAACAAGGTTGGGGAGGACTGATCTCAATGTAGCCAAGAGAAGGGCTCTTGGCAGCCTCAGTTCCTGCAGCGAAGAGGGCGGAAGGCATACAGGAGGAGGTGCAACCATGCAGAGAACACAGGAAGGTGGAGGCTGTGGATATGGGCTGGGACTCAGCACACTCTCCCTCCTGAGACCTTCCAGGTAGCATGAGAAAGGAGTCATCTCCCCAAGCATTGGGAGAGTAGCAGAGAACCAGAGTTGGGGAACAGTCCAAGGTGAACTGGCTTGAGCAGAGAGGATGCTCTGTCCTTTTAAACAATTTCCTGGGGCTTTCTAACCGCCACCATTTGGCGAGGAGCTCTAGGCAGTGGGATGAGAGGAAGGGAGTTGTAGCTCTTTCTACAATTAACCCTGCATTTGAAACAAACTTTATTTTTGATGGTTGAACATTAAATCGCTTCTAAATCACACTGCATGGGTGGGGGGGTGGTAACCCAACTCAGGGCTTAAACATTAATAAGCAAGTACTCTAGATATGAGCTACAGCCCCACACTAGCTGACCACCAAAAGCTCCCTGGTAAGCTGTGGTTAAAATGCAGAGGGCCCACACACACACACACACACACACACACACACACACACACACACAACACACACACACACACACACACACACACACACACACACACGGTCACATCCATACCTTCACTTCTGAGCCATAATCCCAAGGTTCTGCCAGTACTAATGTGACTTCTCTACCCCAGGCACTGTCTCCCACACTATAAGAGGGACAATGATACAAGGCATCAGTGACTTCAGCTTCTTCCCTCCTTTGCTAAGTCTGGAGTGTGTAGCAGACAGTGGTCCCCTGAATAACTCAGCCAGCAGCAGAACTGCCAGTCCCCAAAGAAACCCTCCCTTAGAGGAAAATGGATGGGATGGAATTCTAAATGAGCCCTGCTGTCATGACAACCGTAAATTATGGATGGTTGATGATGCCTCTATCAGGTGCTGTACCCTCAACACCATCATAACCTCTAACCTTCCTTCAGTCTATTTAAGAACCTTTTAAGGGAAGACACATATACTAAGGGAACAGAGGCTCTGTGAGGTTAAACAACTTGTCCAGCAGCTAGGAAAAGGAAAAGCTGGGGTTTACGTCAGGGCTTTTAACTCCTGAGCCTGTGGGCTTCATCCCTGAAAAAATGCTGTATGTAAGAACTGTACCCAGCACTCCACCCCCATGAACCTTATGTGAACTCTACTTATTGATCCTCAGGGAAGACCCAAGAGCTAGGAACATCCATTTCCACCTCAGAAGGGAGGTAACTTGGCTTGGCCAACTTAACAAACATGGCTAATTCACATGATGTCTGCCCATGTGAAAACCTTATCCCAAGCATCTTCTCCTTCTCCTTCTTTTCCAAGACAGGGTTTCTCTGTGTTACCTTGGAACTAACTCTGTAGACTAGGCTGGCCTCCAACTCACAGAGATCCACCTGCCTCTGCCTCCCCAGTGCTGGGATTAAAGGTGTGTGCCACCACTGCTTAGTTATCCCAAGAATCTTAGTATGTGCTGCTCCATTAATCGACATATTTTACAGAGGAAGAAACTGAGGTGCAGAATAGACAGTGACTTTTCCCAGGTATCATAGTTTGAGACAGACCCAGGACCTAACTCTCAAGCTCCGAGCACTTTTCAGGCAACACCATCATCACCATGGGAAAGGAAGATTTGTTCTCAGCCTACCTCACAGCTGCCAGATGGCAAGCACTGGGTACTGGAGTACTGAGTTCTATACTGGAAGCCACATGATGTAAGGAGAGGATGCACTCCCACAAGTTACACACACACACACACACACACACACACACACACACACACACGATAAATAAATAACTAGGTATTGTGTTACTGAGAACTAACCCAAGCTACTCAAGAGGATGAGGCAGTGGTGCACAGGGATGGCTAGTTGAAGACCCACCTAGGCTGCACAGCAAGTTCAAAGCCAACCTGGGCAAGTTAATCTCAAAAATTAATATAGAAAGGGATCTGTGGCAGCTAAACACTGAGCCAAACTCCTGGAATCCAGTTGCAGACAGGGAGGAGTGATGAGAAAAGGGGTCAAAACCAGGCTGGAGAAACCCACAGAAACAGCTGACTTGAACAAGGAGGAGCTCATGGACCCCAGTCTGATAGCTGGGAAACCAGCATAGAACTGACCCAGACTCCCTGAGTGTGGTGTTAGTTGGGAGGACCGGGCAATCTATGGGACCTCTGGTAGTGGATCAGTATATCCCTAGTATATGAATGGACTTTGGGAGCCCATTCCATATAGAGGGATACTCTCTCAGCCTAGACACACAGAAAAGGGCCTCAGCCCTGCTCCAAATGATATGACAGACTTTGAAGACTCCCCATGGAAGGCCTCACCTTCCCTAGGGAGAAAAAAGGGGATGAGATGGGGGTATGGTTTAGAGAGGAGGGTGCAGAAACTGGGATTGATATGCAAAACCTGTTTCAAATTTAAATTTAAAACATTATTTTAAAAAAAACAATTGAAACATGAAAAGCTGGAAATTTACCTTGCTCTTTAGTCAGGGAATTATTTTTAACTAAAGGAAAACTACAAAGCAAATCTCTTGGTTGTAGCAGTACTTAGCTTACTTTTAATAAAAAGTTTTGGGGGAAAAAAAGAAAAAGAAAAAGAGCTGTGGCTATAGTTCAGCCGTAGAGTTCTTGCCTGGCATTGTTGTGCTGGGTTCAGTACCGTGGGCAAAGGGACCCACTGACCTCAACTGTATAGCCTTTTCCATAGGAAATAGGTTAGAAGATGTACATTTCCAGTTCAGGACTCTGTCAGTTGGTAAGGTGCTGCCTAGCATGTTTTATCACCAGCACCACATAAACTGACATGGTAGCCCAAACTTGAAATCTCAGAAATCAAGAGGTGGAGGCAGATTAGATGATTCTCTTGGTTATATTGCTGGGCTACATGAGCTCCTGTCTCAAAGAAAAAAAGAAAAAACCAAAAACAGAAGTCAAGCCCTTTCCCACTATTACATCCTGCCATTATGCCTTCCTTACCCTCCCCCCAGGTCCTGGAGTGGAGTCCCCGACCCTGTCTCAGGCCACTCTCTTCTGTTTCCACCCCCTCACTCAGGATGACTTGTTCGCGGACTTGGCCAACCTGAGCCACCTCTTCCTCCACGGGAACCGCCTGCGGCTGCTCACGGAGCACGTGTTCCGCGGCCTGGGCAGCCTGGACCGGCTGCTGCTGCACGGGAACCGGCTGCAGGGCGTGCACCGCGCGGCCTTCCACGGCCTCAGCCGCCTCACCATCCTCTATTTGTTCAACAACAGCCTGGCCTCGCTGCCGGGAGAGGCGCTGGCCGACCTGCCGGCGCTCGAGTTCCTGCGGCTCAACGCCAACCCCTGGGCGTGCGACTGCCGCGCTCGGCCGCTCTGGGCCTGGTTCCAGCGCGCGCGGGTGTCCAGCTCCGACGTGACCTGCGCCACCCCGCCCGAGCGCCAGGGCCGGGACCTGCGCGCGCTGCGCGAGGCCGATTTCCAGGCGTGCCCGCCGCCCACGCCCACGAAGCCGGGCAGCCGCGCGCGCGGCAACAGCTCTTCCAACCACCTGTACGGCGTGGCCGAGGCGGGCGCGCCCCCCGCAGACCCGTCCACGCTCTACCGAGACCTGCCCGCCGAGGACTCCAGGGGGCGTCAGGGCGGGGACGCGCCCACCGAGGACGACTACTGGGGCGGCTACGGCGGCGAGGACCAGCGGGGCGAGCAGACGTGCCCCGGGGCCGCGTGCCAGGCGCCCGCAGACTCGCGTGCCCCCGCGCTCTCGGCCGGGCAGCGCACCCTGCTGCTCTGCCTCTTGCTCCTGGCGCCCCATCACCTCTGACTGCGGTGCTCAGACGGAAGAGGCCACGGCCTTTGGCCTGCCCCCCTTCTCTGCCCCACCGAGCTGCGGCTCCATCCTCCTCGTCCCTTGTTTGCGGCCAGGCCTGGCGCCTTCCCTAGGCCCCCCTCGCTCCTTTTCTTCCCTGGGACCACGCTGCCTCGTTTGCCTTCTGAGCTGTTCTGACTTGTGTATGGCAGCCCCTAAGACGTTGAATAAGGTGGCTCGGCCCCAACCGCCCTGATTCTAGCCATTAACTCTTCTTCCCCAATCCCGGGGCTGGGGCGGGGCACCCCAGGCAGCCAAAGTTGCTCCTCTCTCCAGGGCCCCACAGTGGACTTGGAGGGGCTTTTGTCTGTAGAGCACCTTCCACCAGCAGAGCCTTTGAAAGCTCCCCCGGGAGCCTCCCTTCCTCCCCAGGACCTTGGGAGGGATGCCTCAGCAAGGCCCAGGCTGCTCCTGGACCCTGCTTGTCCAGATCCCTTCAGCCTCCTGACACCTGGAGGAATACTTTTCTCCTAAGTCTACCCAGAACACTTTTAGGGTGCCTGGAGAGTTTCCTCTCCACCATGGCCCCTGTGTGGTGAAGATCAAAAGAAGCTGTTTGGGGGAAAATTTATTAAAAATATTCTATTATTTTATCTCCTGTAAAGTTTTTTTTTCCCCCTTCAAGACCTCAAAAGCAGAAGTAGGACTTAGAACTGTAGAACTGTAAGTGTTTAAGGGCTGGAGGGCTAGACAAGAGCCATCTCAGGCCATCAGGATCTCCTGCAACCGACTTGATGGGTGACTTAACCTCACCTGGGCCTCAAGGTCATTCTGATCTCCTGAGGCTTCAGTTTCTTGAGCTACACTGGCTGTTAAGGGTATGTGGTGATGACACCAATTTGCCCAAGAAAAGGAGCTACCACCAGTCCTGAAGTGTTTGGTAGTTGAACAACTAAGTCTGGAGGTGGCCACCAACTTAGCTAAGTGACCTCCAGAAAAGAGTTGTTGGCCTCCACCTTCCCATGCAAGGAGGTGTAACTTAGATCTCCATGGGCACAACCAGATAAACATGGCTTTGAGCCTTTCTGGAAAAGGCACAGCTTCCTGGGGGAACACAGTCTTGCCACAAAAGCCTTAAACAGCAGAACCTAAGACTAGATCCCAGTTTGTGTGTTTGCCCTCTTTGTTGGATGCCCCTGTGAAGTGTTCAGCATACACAGCTGTTCTCAATACCCCCCACCCCCACCCCATCCTCCAATATCCTATCTTTCTCCCTTTGCCTGTGAACCTTCATGGGCAGGTTAAGTCAAGCAGTACTCTGGGCAGATTAGGAGAGACTAAGATGTTAAGGTGATCAAGGGACAAAGCTTTCAAGTTAGGGTGCCTTACACTAAAACTAGAAGCTTCTCTCTAGGGTTGGTAAAAGGAGGCGGGGGGGGGGGCAGGGCTAGCAATGAACCTTAGCCTTGAGTGTCATCAGATGGAACTGATCAAGGATCAGTTAAGGTTGTAGCCTGGAAGGTGAGAATGGCAAGGTAGGAGGGACCTGGGTGCTGGGGTTCAGGACTGAGCTGCTACTGGGATCCTGTAACCCTGCCCAGTGAAGTTCCAGGATGTTGAGAAGAGGGGGTAGAAAAAGGCAGGACTCAGCATCCTGTAGCGAAAGGACTTTGGACGTGAATGTGAAATGGGTGAGGGGCTAGTGAGAGCAGAGGGCAGAACCCCAGAGCTCTAAGCTGGGGTGGTACAAGGGCCTGGCTTTCAGGGCTAATAAGTGGGATTGGGAGGAGGACTGGAGGGAAGGTCGAGGGGGAAGGGGAGATGAGAGCTAGGGAAGTGTGCTGTGTTGGAGGAGGGGCTTCTGGACCAGGGCAGGGGAGGGAAGTGTGCTGGTAAATCAGGCAGGCTGTCCAGGTCACAGAATTATCGTTGTGAAATATTCATGGGCCTTCGGTCCAGATGCTATTTCAGAACAACGAGAGCAGGAGGAGCGTGTGTGAGCCTCAGGAAGAAGCCTAGAGCAATACTGCTCCCCACCGGCCCCCACCGCAGCCACTGACAGCCCAGACAGACCAAGGGACGCCCATCACGTGCACACCCACACTCTCCAGCTCTCTCACACACACTCAAGCACACACACACACAGAGACACACACACAAAATGGAGCTTTGTGGCACGTGCAAGCACACCAGCCACCCATGGGTCCCACAAACAGGCAGATGTAACTCAGATATGGACATGGACTCACACCCTCTCACCCAGGACCCCACCCCCCAGCAATCTCACAAGCTCAGGTCCCCAGCCTCTCCAAACAATGCAGACTGATGGCTTTGAGTATTACACTCCAAAATAGAAGAGATGGGGGGCATGTATTCCAACCCCCACCAATGTTTGGGTGAGGAAACCGAGGCCAGAGTGTTCAGGAATGGACTTGTCCACAACTCCCCTAATTCCTGAAGGAAACAAAATCCATTCACCTCCCCCATTCCATGAGTGTGTCCCCATTCTGCGTGCTTCATTTTTCAGAGGCCCAATGTCGTTGTCCTTAGCACCTCCTTTCTCTAATTTTCTCTATCTACTCAGTTCCCAGGCCCCCTCCTGGCCCCTGCCCATGCTCATCTTCCAGCCCCTATTACCTCCCTGCTGAAGCTCCTTATCACCTCCTGCCTGGAACATAAAAGCAAATGGAAGTCATCTCTACTCTGCTTTTTCTGCACTCCCTGCCTCCCACCCAGCCTGCCCACAGTGACCAGACTCATCTGGCCAAACTGTTCATGATGTCACTGTGTCACTCTGGAACATATCGTGGCTCCCCGTTGCCTTCAGATTCCAAATAAAACACCTTGTCGAGGCACCAGAAGGGTTTCACTGTCAAGAAGCAACTGCTTTATTCAAGCCTCCACCTCAATGGGCACCAGCCAGCCTGCTCTCTAGTGCTTGAATGTTTGTGGCCACCTGGCCAGCTGGTTTGGTATGCCAGAAACCCAGAAATCTATTTTGAGTACTGCCTAAAGTCCCTTCATCTCCCCCAAACTAGGAAAGTCCTCTCTGCTCTTCTCAGATCTCTAACTCCAGAGCCCTTCCTCAAAGCCAAGACTGCACCTGCCTACGCAGGCAGGGCTCCTCATTGCCCTTCAAGGAGCAGAGCCCAGAGGATGGCTGCCCCCTACTGACCATCACGGGAAGCACAGACAGGCTTTGTCATCCCAAACTGCAGAGTGAGCATGCAATCTCCTGGGGAGAGAAATAGAAGGACGCCAGATGACAAGCTTTATAAGCCCTTAAGCTTCTCAGGTTCTTACACCCAGAGTGGGGGGTGAGGGTGTTTTCAGCCCAGTTTTCCGAGCAGCTGGCTCCCCACTTTAGATCTCTAATCTGTCAGAGAGCGCTTCTATAAAAGCATGAAGACAGGCCTTCCAGGACCCTTCCAAACGGAAAGTTGGCCAACAAACTCTGAGAGGCCGCAAAACTGGGGACAGTCCAGGTGGCAGGCCCAAGGTCCAGCCGGGGTCAGGTTTCTCTATGAATTTTTAATGCTTCCAGCCAAACCTGTCAGATGTCCTGAAACCCGAGAATTCATCTCCTTTTCATCTGTACCAGATGCCCTTCTCTGTCTGTCTGCGCTGGGGCATGGGCCACAGAGGGGCTCTGGGCAACTATGCTCAGAGAAGATGGTTTGGAGAAGGGAAGGATGAAAGATCTGTTTGTTCTCCCACTTCCAAGCTATGTGATCTTGGCAGATTCTCCTGATAACTCGTTTTGTTGCTACTGTTGGTTTGGACATCTGTGGGGAGGGGGCAATGACACAGAGTCCCTGACCGAACTGAGTTGGAGCAGGGAGCAAGCACATAATAGGCCCATGTGTTTGTCAGTGCCATCTTCCCACAAGCCCTGTCTCCTCTCTGGTTTCTTCCACCACCACCGTCTCTCTCTCTCTCTTTCTCTCTCTCTCTCCCTCCCTCCCTCCCTCCCTCCCTCTCTCTCTCTGAAGGTGGGACTCTAATTGTTTTTGGTATCCCCAGTAACCTCCAAATAGCCTGGGCCTCAAAATTCTCCCAAGGACTATAGATGGGGGGGAGGTTAGGAAGTGGGCAAGGCTGGCTAAGCAGAAAGTAAACAGTTGAGAAGCTAAAGAGTGGGAGGGGCAGGAGAGAGGAACCGACCCCCCCAGGAGGGGATGGGAAAGGAGACCACCCAGCCCAGAGAAGAGCCAAGTTCAGACTCCCTCCTTTATCTTTCCCTCTCCATAGCCTCCACTCTTTCTTTTTCCTTGCACTTTGTCCATGCCAGATACCATCACACCAGAAAGAGACAGCCACAGTGTGTGTGGGGGGGGGGGCACAGGAGGAAGCGGGCCACCATTTTTCCAGTCCATTCAGCTCTTGCTCAGTGTTTCTAAATGTAAGGGCCTCTCTATCTGATTAAGTGGGAAGACAGTTTCTGAGCCCCTCAACCACAGCTGAATCCGTTAGCTGGTGGTCCAGGAATCTGCATCTTATCAAGTAGAGATGGCTGTAAGGGCTCTCAAGTCTGAAAGTCATTTTCTTGACGGTGAAGAGGGGAGCAGACAAGACAATGCAAAAGGAAGTTGGCCCTCCTCCTAGAGCCTACACACTTGGTAGAAGCAGTGGATGGGAATTCCATGTAGAGGACGGTGGGTAGGAATAAAAGATGGAGAATGTCGGCCCGAGGGATGGTACTTACCTGTAATCCCAGCACTAGGGTGGCTGGGGTAAGAGGTTCGAGACCAGCCTGACCTCTATTGTAGCCAGGTTAACCTGAGCTACAAAATGAGATCCTGTTTAAAAATAAAAACACAAGAAGGATAATATGATAAGTAAAGAGAGACTCAAATTGTATGGGGGTGGGGGACATAGCCAAGATGAGACTGGGAAGCAACTAAAAGTGCAACTTTGAACTTGCAAGGTGTGTCCACCCACCCTTCTAAATCGCCCCCCGAGACTCTGCTTTGCTGGACTGGAGTTTCAGAGGAGGGCAAATCACAGAGAACTCTCACTAGCTGTCTGAGGAGGAGGGCCAGAGAGCAAGCGTTTCGCTGCCGAGACCACTGAGCCTGTGTAGGGTGCTTGTCAGGAATATATCAGTC